CCTAAAAAGTCGGCATACAAAAGTACTAGAAGGCATACTCGAACAACATCGACGTCATTCATCCGAGTAAAACCATCTTTCTTATTAAATAATTTCTTCAGGTCGTCGACGTGTAAGTTCAGCTTCTTTATTGACTCATTAGGAAAAACCCGGGATAACCATGATGGGCGGGTGATATGACGAGTATACCAGCCTACATCATCGTGTCTGAATCGTAGACCAGTGATTAAGCAGAACTCCTTCCGCCCAAAACAAGTATACGCCGGTGGAAAATGAAACCATATCTCTTCCTCACCACGTTGTATACTGTCGGGTAGATCGCTAGTCATGGTCTGAAGCCACAAATGGGTCAAATTAGCATCTCCACCTGGATGCTATACTCTCAGCCATGGCTCGAAGCAGGTTTCCTCAAATAATTTTCTTTGTGCATGTGAAAGCTTCGAAGCAATTGTAGTGGCTAGGCTAACTTTATTCCTTAATGTCAATGAAGCCGAAAAAAATTTCTACAAAAACAATAAACATACCAAGTTAGATATACCAAAAACTACACTGTGAAGATATACCAAAAACAATAAACATAAACAGTAGTAGTTCATTCTTGAAACTAAAATTTGCAACACTGTTTTGTCTTTTGGTTAATAAAAATCGCAATGAGAGAATGACTATCGCAACGCGAAAATGACTATCGCAACGAGAGAATCGCAACGCGAAATGAAAATCGTAACGAGAGAATCGCAACGCGAAATGAAAATCGCAATGCGATTTACGGATACGCGTTGCGATTTTACATATTGTCGTTGCGATTTACGGATACGCGTTACGATTTTACATATACTCGTTGCGATAGTCAGAATCGCGTTGCGATTTATATGTTTGCGTTGCGATTTTCATATTCGCGTTGCGATTCTGGGAACTGATTTGCGATTCTGGAGATCGCGTTGCGATTTTTATTTCGTATTGCGATTTTGTTGGTCATTTTGGTAAATAAAAAAAAATTAGTTAAAATCGTATATTATAAGGCATTTTTGGTCACTGATGTTATTTTCTCTTTTTAAATTGACCATAATCGTTCTTCCATTAAATGAAATTTCGATTGGTACGAAAATAACAATTAAGAATGTGAAGATTAGCGATATAATGTGGGAACGCTTAGCATTTTCTTCTTCAACGATTTGGTCCATGTTGCACTTTTCTAGACCAGCCTTTGTCCCATTGATGACATTAGTTAACTATTACAACATATTTCCATTATTAAATAAAATTTAGTACTAGAAAATTAGAAGCAAAATGACAAAGGAGCCGACTATTTCCACATTGATGCTTACCTTCCATGTCTAATTATATAATAATTTATTTACTAGATTTAAGGTTTAACTATTATTTTACATTCAGATTGATGTTATATTTTAATCAAGAAAAAGGTGTTGAAAATAAAATAATTGGACGAAGAAAATTATAATATTGCCATGAATTTCATGTTCTTATAATAAAACTCCAATAAAGGCGTTGAACGACTTGAACACACATCATAATCATTATAGATGAATCTTGATTAATTATAAGTAGGATTTCAGAGATGAGACGAAAGATTTTCTTTTTAAATAAATATTAGAGGATAAAAAAATCAAATTGAAAGAGTTGTCTTTAGGGACAGTCATGGGTTTGATTGATCAGATTTTGGCCTATTAATATTCGATAATATCTCTTCACTCATCACCCGATCTGATCTGAATTTAGGAAAGTTTCACTTGATCTAAAGTTGACATGTTTTTTAGAGTATAAACATGCATTCAACACTACGTGATTCGACCTAAATATATGTATAAACACTACAGCAAAAATAGTTTTTAGCGGCGGATGTACCGGCGTTTTTACTGCAAACGCTGGTAATTGTTTACATATAGCGGCGTTTTTGAAAAAACGCCACAAAATACTATACTTTAGTGGCGTTTGTATAAAAACGCCGCTAAAGAATCGTAATGTAGTGGCGTTTTTATACAAACGCTGCTATAGACACGTACTTTTGTGGCGTTTTAATACCAAACGATGCTATAGACTCATACTTTAGTGGCATTTTTACACAAACGCCGCTATAGACACGTACTTTTGTGGCGTTTTAATACCAAACGCCGCTATAGACACGTACTTTTGTGGCGTTTTAATACCAAACGCCGCTATAGATTCGTACTTTAGTGGCGTTTTTACACAAACGCCGCTATAGACACATACTTTTGTGGCGTTTTAATAACAAACGTCGCTATAGACTCGTACTTTAGTGGCGTTTTAATACCAAACGCCGCAATTGTCATATAAACCTAGTGGCGTTTACGAAAAAACGTTGCTACTGAAAACTACTTTAACATATCGAAACAAAACCCTAATTTCATAGATTCAGTCTGGGCATCGAAATATATCTCCCCTCCCTTTTATCTCTTCGCATCCACTCTCATCCTTTGATCCTTCGACCTCCATTGTTTGATCCATCTTCCCCTTACATTCAACCCATATATCTCCATTCTTTTCATTCCCCTCTTTCATTGCTTTTAGACATCTCTCTCTTCCATTCTCTCTGCAGGACAAGGCGCAACAATGGCTTCCAAATTTCTGCAGCTCTATGGTAAAATTCGGCTTTTAAATTCCTTGAAGTGGATTTGGTTCCTATTAAGGTAATATCCTAAAATCTGAATCATGGTATAAGATCTGTGATCACATAGTTCAGGGATGAAATTTGTGGGTTTGGATACAAACTGATGTATGCACTAGGTGGCGTTGCACTCTTTTTCCTCTGCAGTGTGATTTTATCTAAGCCTCAATTAGCGGTGTGTAAACTTAGAGGGTTGTCCTTATATTAAAAGCCAATACCATGATTCTACACCTGCCGTTTAAAACATCACAAGATACTTTATATTAATATTTCAATATTTTGTAATATAATTAGATTTAGAATTAATAAAAAGTTATCAGTGAACCAATCTATATCTAGTTGGATGTTTGGGCCTGGCAGGTGTCTCCCTGGGATACCTGCATAATCCTCGTTGCTTATTCTTTCAAATTTGCTTGCTGCTCAGTTGCCTTTCCTCCATGCATGTGTGGTTTTCCATATATTTTCTGGATTTTTGTTATTCTTCAGTCATTTTTTATCATGAAGCTTTGCACAAAGAATCGCACCCCCCCCCCAAATATTATATGCAACAATGTGTTGACTTTGTACCCACTTTTTTGTTGCAGCAATGGTATGTTCTATATCCGCTTGAAGGTCCATGGTATGAGCTATTGGCCATTCCTCTTCGTTTTGAGCTTCTGTGTTCCATCATGATACCCATATCTATTAAGGTAACCCAATATAAAATACTAATGATTTTGAATTGTTTCCCATGCTCTTCTTTTTTTTTTTGGTATGAACCTTGATATACTGAACGGACCAGCTTGCCACTAATAGCACAGAAGGTTCTTAGCTAGTCACTGTACTGTGTTACGCGAGACATTGACTAGATCAAATATGGTGCAACAGTGATGTGAGTTTTGAGTTTAAAATAATAATAATATTATGGCATGATTATAATATGATTAGGAATGCATTACAACTTTACCAATGTAGAAATGTTTTAGTTCATTTGATTGTACTAGGACTAGTAGGACAAGTGTAGAATGTTTTGTTCAATCATTTGATTGTTAATAGAAATCCAAGTGGGTGTCAGAAACTAGTTCTAGTTTAAATTTATTGTAGACACATGTCCTTGTATTGATGGCCAAGTTAAAATCTCTTGGATTAATGGGTTATTTTCTATACTCTTAGGTTCGGTGGTTGGGAGATGATTGGTTTCTTTACTTGAAGTAAGGTCTCGAATAGATGAGAATATAAGCTTCATCTTAAATATCCTTTAATTTTTGCTTCTAATCTTGTTTTTGCTTCAATTTTTGATTTTATTTCCATATTTGAGTTCTTTCTCAGATATTTTATCTTGTTAACCATCAAGCCTTTTTTTGCAGGTCTCTCTGGATCTTGTGAAAAGTTTATATGCAAAGTTTATTGATTGGGATTCTGAGAGATAGATTATGAGACTGGTATTCCTTCACATGCAACGAAGTAAGTATTTTTTCCAAGAAATCAATTAGTTGGAGTGCCCTTCTTAGTATACAAAGCTGGTAGCTAAGTTGATGTCACTCAAACTGAACATTATCTGTTCAAATGTTTGAGTCTTTTATGACTTGGCACACTTAACTTCCTTTTGTTTATCTTTCTCCCTTTTTTTACTTTTCACAACTCTTACCTCTCTCTTTTTTCCTTACTATATATTAAGTTTATTTTTACAACAAAAACTTTGTTATATAGGAGTTGTTTTTGAAAAGAATTATATGCAATTATTTAGCTACATGGTTGGATTCTGCCATAGATTTTAGTGAATGTATATTTTGATAAAATTGGTTTGTTTTTATGTGGCACAGCAATAAGTGAGGACCTTGGACAAGTTGAGTACATAATGACTGACAAAACTTGAACACTAACTGAAAATAGAATGATCTTTAGAAGATGTTGCATTAATGGCGTTTTCTATGGAATGAGAGTGGTGATGCGCGAAAGGTTCGTTATCTATTTTTCACCTTCTTGCTCATTACCTAATCTTTTCTCATTGAATCCATTTTTAGGTTCATATTCTCATTGAATCCATTTTTTAGGTTTTCATTCTGTTGAATGAAATTGTCTGCTTGAAATAATCAGGGACAGTTTGACTTTTTATCTTGCTAATGAAAGCTGATATTTTATAATTGAGGGGGGTCCAAAATTGGGAATGGAGTTAATAAGTATTTTGCCCGTGGGCCGTAAATTCTATGTTTAAGATGAGACAAATTTCATCTTTAACATCCTTATTTTGCTTCAAGTTCATAGCTCTGTAAATTCTGATTATCATTTCAAATAGTCTTTAATAAGTTAATTTTTATGGTTTTAGTTTTTATTCTTGGAAATAACATAATGACTTACTGTCCTTGAGTTTAATGTAATGATCAAAGACGGGATAGCGAAGAGCTACGATAAAGCATGTTGGCTATTTGATAGCATGCAGTGTCACGGTGCAGTTACGGATAAATGCGGTTATAGTTCTCTTATACAGATTTTAGCTAGCGCAGATTTACCACACGTAGCGAAATGCTACCTGAAGAAGATGCAGGAAGCCGAACTTGTGAGTGATTGCATTCCATAATGTGCTGTGATCTCAGGCTTTGTGAAATTAGGAGAATTGGGAATGGCTGAAGGACTATACAACGAGATGATTCAATCGGTAAGCTTTGTTGCTTGTAAGAATGAGTGAGTTAAGAAATTTGCGTTTAAAACTACTTTGAATCAGCCGTTCTAATAAACTTGGACTCATTGTTGATGCTTATTTTTTTTTCTCTCAGGGGCATTGCTTGTGTCAATTTTCGCATCTCCAATTGTATTAGCAGTGCAACTGCTGAAGTTGCCAAAGATTTATAGTCTATAATTGGTTAGTCATCTGAATACTCTTAGCTGATAGATCTTTGTTTGTTAATTCTAACTGAACTTTGTAATTCCTTATAATTCTTTTAAGACATGCTATGTCAAGGATGCCAATCACAGGATCAGCTAGCAGAAGAAAAAGGGAACATATTTTTGTTTCATTCAATGAGATATTTGTGTATGTTTTAAAATTTCTATCGAATCTGCATTGTTCAGTCGAAAGAATCGTTTTTCTTCTGCTCTTAGGGTTGTTTTGGTGATTTCTCGATTAAACTGTCTTCTCATTAGCTCTTTCATTCGTTACTTTTTAACATAAAAAAGACTAAAAGAGAGCGTTATTATTAATTAAATCATGTGTATATAGTTCAAACCCTATTAAATTTACTAACATAGATATTATAATGTATATCTTTGCAAGCAAGAAATTGAATTCAATATTTAGGTTCATTTAATCGAAACTTTGATGAGTGCAAAGATGCGGTCGAATAGTATAATAATGAAGTATGAAATTTCGTGAGTTTGAAGGGAAGACCTACTGGGAATAACCCATCATGAGAACCTTGCTCACGCACTTTTGCTTTCTTTCTAACCTTTCATTTTTCTGGAGTTTTGGAGCCTTTTTCTGGGTACTATGATTTAAAATATGTTTGGTCCGATAATCTGTTAGAAGTTATCAGAAATTCAAGCTTGGATGTTTCTGGACAATTATTAAGATCTATCTCTATATTTTGCTTATCATCATGAAGGTTGCCCATGCCATAGAGTTGTTGACTGTTGGGACTGACCATGCAGAAATGTGTTGTTAACTTTTTAACGTAAGATATGGATTTTCATATAACTGATGATTTATTGGATATGAAACTAGAGATCGGGTTTGCATTGCCATGGATGGGGCCTTTTCAAGTGGCATGCCAATTGGAGTAAGACCTCATGAAGCAAAATATCTGTGCAAGAAATGACAGGACGATACTAGCTCTGCATCATTGTTTTCCCATATAAATTGGATTTATCTCTTTGAATTTAAGCGCCTCATTGTGACGAAGAGTTTTGAAGATGTGTAAGATTAGAAACAAAATATCTTAGATATTATGTTTATTAGTTAATAATGTTGAACTACATTATATTTATGTTAATGTAAACTTTGATTTATTATTATGGATTTCATTTTTCTTGTTATGGATTTTAAGTTGTTGTTATCGATGTCAAGTTTATTGGAAAATGCTACAGGTTAAATTTGGGTAATAAAAGAGTAGAAAACAACATTTGACAAATTAGTTTTAATTTGCAAAATCAATTTCTTTTAGCTATAGAGAGGTAATTAGCGGCGTTGTATCTTAAAACGCCGCTATATACCAGATCTTTTGCGGTGTTT